AAAAATCGTTGTTTTATGATTTGGGCTTGACGAAGTTCGAAGTTTGGGGCCTTCCATTCGGCACTGTGCGGTCGCGTTGGTGATTGATTGCTCTGTCCACTATGTGTACTCTGACCCATGTTATTCCTAAAAAACGAAAGCCGTCGTCGCCTTTCCTGGCCCAAATCTCCAATTCGCTGTCGGAGAACTGCACTATGGTGTTCACTGAGCTGCAGAGTACCCTTGAAGATAAGGCGCAGAAAGCGATACCGTTATTGGAGAAGCTAGTTGCACTATTGACGCCTGATCCCGCTGAAATCGTCGAAGCCGATGAAAGGGCGCGTTCAGTGGTTATTTTTGGTGTACCAGAAGGTGATGCGGATCACCCTTCATCAATGCGGCAGAAATCAGCAGAACAAGCAGTAAGTGAGATATTGGATTTTTTGGATGTGTAAGGGCGCCCCACTGAGATTTATAGGATGAGCAAACGTGCATCCGGTAAATGTCGCCTTATTAAATGCGTGTTTTCTTCCCTGAGAATTTTCTTTCAAACTTTACGGAATGCTAGAACACTTAGGCATTGTGTCGATTTTAAAAATATGTTTATTCGTCGTTCTATTACCCCGTCTGAGCGTGAAAAAGATGAACAATTGCGGTTGAGGGCAAAAGAGTTGTACCGGACTAAGCCTAGTGGTGAAAGTGATTATGTCGTATTTAGATAACAAGTGGTCAAAAGAACGGACGTCCCGGGCATTTTGAAGGATGCATCATCTAAGAAGCAAAAAACTGAGAAAAAATGGTACTTGCTCTCTTTTATCATTTTTGTTGCTCAATGCTCGTAGTTTAGCTAATAAGCTCTCAGAGTTCCACCACATTCTGAATTGTCCGAAACCACACATCGTTTTTGTCACCGAAAGTTGGCTTAGTGCCAAATATTCGGATAACGAAGTGTTTGCTGGCTTACCGTACAATATCATTAAAAAAGACCGAGTGGGTGGAAAAGGAGGCGGGCTCTGTGTTCTTTTACAAGAACACATTAATTTTCAACTTGTTCAGTTTGATTTGTCATGAATTGCTGGTGACGTCCTTTGTTTTGATACCTTGGATTTCTCCCTAGGGCCCGTTCGCCTTGTTACGTGTATCGTCCTCCAAATCAGAGTATTCTTGATAAGCAGTTATGTGGCATTTTGTCTGATCTATGTTCTTTTGCAAGAAATCGGGAGCGCGAAAACGTAGGTACGAATGCTTTTCCTCGCTTTTTCTCGCGTGATTTGACGCAACATGTTCGAGAGCCTACATGCGGGTCCTCTATCCTTGCCCTTATCCTCTGTCCCTCAGATTTATGTTCCAATGTTTCTATCAAACCACCGTTGGGAGCTTCTGATCATTTTGCGTTTTCGATTGAAACACCCGTCGGTCTTGTGAATGGGACAACATTCTGAGACTTTTACAAGGCGGATATCAAGGCGATTGACTGTGCGCTTGGAAAAATTGATTGGTTCTGTGTCATTGATTGTTATTTCCCGGTTGATGATATCTATGACAGGTTTCTTCCCATTATTTATGATCTTATCGAGCGTTTCATTCTGATGAAGAAATTTTTCCTTTCATTGAGAGGTGCCCACGGCATATTAGAAATCTTCATAGACAGAGGGAGAGGCTATTCTCCACCTGCATTGATCCTTCAGTCTCCACTGAATACAATAGAGTAAACAGAGCCTTCACTTTTCACTCGAGGCGATTCCTTGCATATAAGCAGAACAAGATCTCCAATAGTTTTTACATGAGAAACCTATTTTCTTTCATCAACAAGCGCATGGGAAATAAAAAGCACACTTCGCTCCTTCGTGACTTTGATGGGAATGCCTTATTCTCAGCACAGGCAAAAGCCAATGTTTTAGGAGATTATTTCGCGAGTGTTTATACGGTTTCCAAGAACTCTGTTGGTGCACTCGCTTCTGGTTCGCGTGTTGAAAAAGATTGCCCCTTGCCGGTTATTACTTTTGATGTTGTATACAAATGTTTGCGCGGCCTCAAAAGGTCTTCGGCTCTCCCTTCGGACGGTATTCCCCCGATCTTCTTCAAAATGTTTGCCTCTAACCTAGCATCCCCCCTCTGCCACATATTTGATATTTCTCTAATCGTTGGCCAGGTACCTCTGCTTCGGGAGGAATCGATTGTCACAGCGGTTCCAAAATCCAGTGCTTCTCTGCCTAGTGAATTTCGACCCATAAGCATTACCCCAACGCCTTGTACAGTGATGGAAAAATCTTGAAACATGTTTCCTTGATTGGTTCAATCACTTCAGCCTATTTCCTCGCGAGCGATTCGGTTTTGTGAAGGACTCTTCTACTTGTTTGCAACTATTGGTATGTACACACGAGTGTATTAGTGCGCTGATTTCATTGGAGAATGTTGAATCGCATATTTTTATCTTAGTAAAGCATTTGACACAAGCTGGAGCTGGTCGGTATTAGAGGAAATCTTTCAAATTGGCTGAAGTCCTATCTTCCCGACCGTTGCCTCTGTGTCAAATTTGAGGACGCTTTTTCGCGTAAATATCCGATTACATCCGGAGTGCCACAAGGTGGGGTCCTCTTTCCTCTCTTGTTTATCATCTATACATTGCAGCTCCCTTGTGCTCTCCTGGTGGATCCAAGCGTTAAAGTGTTCACTTTTGCAGGCGATGTTAAGGTCACTTTCAGATCGGATAAGGGCAACCTTGTTGAGGCAGAGCGGATTTTAGACCGAGTGATTGATTCCATGTCAACATGGACTGATAATATGAATCTGAAGCTTAATTTCGGTAAAACTTGCTGTCATTTGGTAATAGGTCAGGTGCTCCCTCCATAGATCATGTGCCAACGTCCTGTTATCGATCCCATACTCGTGATCCTGGTGTTACGATATCAAACTCCTTGAAGTGGGATATACATATTGATAACATCGTGACTAAAGCGTTCCATTGCCTTTACGGCTTATTCAGGGCTGTAAAATCTGATCTCGCTGCGTCGATAAAGCTGTATAAAGCATTTGTTGTCTTGGTCATTGAATACTGTAGCCAAATATGGAGCCCGTGTGCTAAGAAGCTTATTGCCGAAGTGGAGAAGGTTCAAATGACATTTGCTAGATTGGTGTATTTCCGAGTTTTCTCTGAGCCAGGTTATCCTAGGGCAATGCCCGCTTGCAGTATTCGGCTGAGAGAGCTAGGTCTGAAAAGCCTTTTATAGGCGTGTTCTTGCAGATTGGTGCTCGCTTTCAGGATCTTCAGAGGTGAGATGCTTTTACTTTTTCTACTTTTGGTATTTCAAGCCGGCGTCCACTCGGAGGCCTTCTCTTAATCTATGTTGTTACAGACATAAACTTCGTTCTAGACGTAATGCACGGGTCGCCGTTAGTAGTCTCCTAAGGGATTCCTTTTTTGAGAGAACGGCTGAACTCCATAAAATCAATCTTGGCCAGAGCACTCTTGAAGAGAGATGTACTTTTCTTCCCAAAAAGATCCATAGGTAACTTGTTGAGCTCAACAAGTTACCTATGGATCTCCTTGGGAAGAAAAGAACATCTCTCTTTAAAAGTGCTCTGGCCAGGATTGATTTTATGGAGTTGATTGGAATTCCTGACTTCTGATTACAGCGTTTTTCCAAGCTGTTTTGTCTACTTTCGTGCATTTGCCCATGTTACGTCTGGATTGCTTTACGAATTAGTCTTCGACTCTTCGGGTCGTCTCTTGTACTTCTGGTTGTTGTAGCTTTCGTAAGTCCAGCTATTCTTCGTGAATTAGGCTGCCAGGCGTCATCCCTGATGCTTGCTCCGCTTATCTGCATGCTAGCACAGCTAACATATGTGATATGCTTTTCTTTTGGCGTGTTACTCTTTCCAAGGTGGGTCAACAAGTGCGCTGGATCGCTGCTGCAACTTGGGCCGGGTACTTACGCCCGAGGTACGTGTTCAGCTTAAAGAGGCATATACTAGCTCCGGCCAGTCGCGTTGGCCCGGCTGACCCACCTTCCATCTAACTTGTTTTCCTGCTTGTGCTGATCGTGTTTTCTGCTTTGTGAATAATGTGCTGTGCATGTAGGTTTCTACATTTGTGTTTATGTTTGGTGACGTCTAACGGTTGTCAATTTTTAGTGGAGCTTACCTATCTCAATGTTTAATATTTCGCTATACCACCTTGTTCTGCTTTATTTGCCTTTGACTGCTGCTCTTTTGTCTCGTACTTTTGCTATTTCGTTGCTTGATTGGTGCACATCACTAATCGAATAGCGTCACTGTTAGTGCCCTATTTCTTTCCTTTTCCAGTGGGCCTTGTTCTGTTCTTTTCTGTTTTTTGTTCTGTTCCTTGGTTCTGTCGGAATTTTCATATTTTAGTAGTTCTTCCTGGCGCCGATGGCGCACCCCTGGGTGTATAATAAATAAATAAATAAATAAATAGCAAGGGAGGAGAAATTTTGATCTATGATAGGGTGTGCCATTACAGTCTTGCACAGTGCCGAATGGTAGGGCCCCAAACTTCGAGCTTCGTCAAGCCCAAATCATGAAACAACGTTTTTCCCTTTCCGCTGGGGGAAAACAATCATTAGATAGCACTTTTTACGGACAATCTAACAGTATACAATTTAATTGCAAAAGTTCAAGCGGCAAGGGGAAAAACATAATTTGTAATCTGAGCGTGACGATAAGCGAAGTTTGGAGCCATACCAAGAGACAACTGTTGATCTTTGATAAGGTGTACCATAACAGCCTCGCAGAACACAAAGAGTAGTCAACAATAGCGGATTGCCTCGCTGCCGCCTCCTCAGGTTCCGGAGAAAAATTCTTCTAAGTATTAGAAAATGCCGAAAATATCGACTCCGTTATTTTGCCGTAAGTTGATGTCATATTCTCTAAGAAACGAGTAAAGAGGAGTGTTGAGTGCAGAGACCGTAGATGCACTTATCTACAGCCTTCAAACCAAAAAAGGAACGATGGAGACTAAACAAAACCAAAAAACACTTTCACATTGTACCGAGTAAAGTCGAGTACGTGGCGCAATCCAAAGCAAATTCTGAACAGATCACCTTCAGGAACCAATGAGCTCCTACAAGCACTAAAGCGTAAACCCCATGTGCATGCAACCACTTTTCGGATGAAGCACAAGTGCATGGCGCAATCCAAAATAAAATTTTTGACATTTTAGGGTATCGCCTTGTAGAGCTCGATGAGCTGATTTCAGCGGTATTTTTTTCTTTTCGACCACTTTATTTTGAAGCGATTTATAACGAAGAGACGAAAAAAAAGCGAATTCGTGGTATTCTCGTGAATTTTTGAGTTCTACGGCGAGTACTATATATATACATATATATAATATATATATATATATTACATATAGGGATGTAAAACATGG